TCTTGCCCTTTAGCAGGTTTCTGGAGCTCCACCTCAGTTACCTGTGCAGTAATGAATCTATCATCCACAGTACCAGATGTTCTTCTATCGTCTGTAATGTTGTATCCCTCTAGTTCAGGGGTAGTCAACCTTTTTATACCTACCACCCACTAATGCATCTTTCTTGATGGTAAAATTTCCTCACCACCCACCAGTGCTTAATGGAAGGAGAATTCAGCTTGTGCCGTAGAACCCCCTTCCGCCCACCTAGAATCCTGAAACGCCCACTAATGAGCTGAAGGGACCAGGTTGACAACCCCAATCTAGTTTAAAGCTCTTCTGATCAGGTTCGCGAGACTCTTAGCAAACACACTATTGCCAACAACTGAAGTGCAGCCCATCTCTTGCCCGGAGTCCTTCCTCAAGAAAGTAGAGACCACGATCCAAGAAGCCAAACCCTTCCTGATGACATCACCTGTGCAGCTAGTGGTTTACCTCCAGTATTATCCTTTCTTCCTGGGCCACAACCTTCAACAGGAAGGAGTGATGAAAAGACCACCTGTGCCCCAAGGTTCTTCAGCTTCCTGCCCAGAATCTCATAGTCCCGAGCTACACATTGAAAGCGGTGTGTGGCCGTATTGTTTGTACCCACATGAATCAGAAGGAAGGGGTTGTGGTCAGTGGACTTTATAAGACTTGGCAACTTCTCTGTCACATTGTGAATCTTTACACCTGGAAGCCAGCACACCTCCTGGGACATCCTGTTTCCTCCACACACTACTGCCTCTGTCTCTCTCAATAGTGAGTTACCTACCACCACCACACGTCTCTTCTTCCTCTGGGGAATGGCAGAAATCGTTCTATACACTGTGCCTTCCAAAGCCTCCTTGAATTGTTCTGAGGTTTGCAAAGATAGCAGCTAAAATCAAAGGAAGCATTTAAGGGTACCAGGTATTGTTGACTATCTGTTGTTGCTGCTGTTGTTTATAAAAAGTTTATTGAATATTTAAAAATTAAAAAACAATTACCACGTAGACTAAAGTTGTTACAGTTAGAAATGGAAGAAATGAAAGGCAATAGTTCTCTTCACCAACTGTCTCTCCCATTCCCCAATAAGATCCTCAGAATCTTCACTCCATACTTGGGAAGGCAGACCCACCTTTGTGCTTTGAGTTACATCCCTCTTCTGTGTTATTTGACAAGTTGACTAGTCCTCATCTAACCCCACCCAAATGCTCCCTTGATCTTATCCCCTCCAGACTCCTGGCTGCTGAAGTCCTATCATCATCCTCTGGCTCCTCCCCTACTTCAAACAATCAATCAAACAAAAAATCAACCCATCCCCAACTCTCCATCTGCCACCCAATTTCTCTTCCATTATTCACCACTATCCAGAACTCCACCACCAAATTCATTCACCTAATTCACTGCTTTACATTGGGTTCCCATCCAAGCCTGGATTTAGGACAAACTCCTTACCTTAATCATCAAAGCCCTGCATGACCTCGTAAGCTTCTTGGGGTAGGGATCTGTCATCTTGTTACTCTGTGTGTGTGTGTGCACTGATGGTAGTAAATAATTAAAAATTATGGTACATTAAAGATTTCTATCAGCAAAAAAAGAGATCCCTGCTGGTAAGCAACACTGGGAAACAATAACAGAAGGAAGGCAGTGAGGAGACAAAGTGGGGGGAAACTGAATCAAATATAGCTTCAAATATTTAAGTTTGGTTACAGATGGGGTTGCGGATGAAGAGATTAAACCAAAGGCTTCCAAATAAAATGTTGGATTGAAGTAAGGATTTGAAGGGGCAGGAGGGGAGAGAACGGAGCACCAATTACAGATCAGAGTTGTGCATTTTCCAGGTAAAGAGGGGCAGCAAAAAAGAATGAACACAACTGAAAGAACATCATATCACAGGGTGTCTGATGGTAGTAGAGTTGGCGAAGCAAAGGTCATGGAAAAGGATACAACTGCCCTGTGTGGTATGTCACTATTATTTCACTTTACAGGCAAAAATCGCCCAAAACTACCTGCTCAACTTTTGACTGAGAGGGAATCTCAACCCATGCCTCATACTCTTTCCACAAGTTCTCACCAGGGAAACACACAGAATACAAGATGTCCCCGCAAGCTGGTTTTACACAAGTATTCACTGAACTAACTTTGATGCACCACTTAATTTAAATACTGCCTGAAACCTGATCTGTATTTAAATTGCAGATAATTAGTCTATCATAGAAAACACATCAAAGACTCATTGGCACTTAAATACAAGCAATCCTTTTCTGACATGAGCTTTCATTTGCAAGCCCCTACTTCAGGGGCGCGGGTGGTGGCTCCCTCAGCCAGTAAAGCAAGATAAGCGCCGCAATCCCAGAGTCGTTCACGACTGGACTTAACGGTCAGGGGTCCCTTTACCTTTACCTTACTTCATTAGATGGATAGCATTAACCTTAAACACTATACAGTCATACCTTGGTTGTTGAACGCCTTGCAACTCGAACGTTTTGGCTCCCGAACACCACAAAGCTGGAAGTGAGCGTTCCAGTTTGTGAACATTCTTTGGAACCCAAACGTTCGACGCTGCTTTTGCGGATTCCGATTGAGTGCAGGAAACTCCTGCAGCCAATCAGAAGCCATGCTTTGGTTTTCAAACGTTTTCGGAAGTCGAACGGACTTCTGGAATGGATTCCGTTCAGGAACCAAGGTACAACTGTAATAGCCCTAGTGTTGTGTTTAAGAATAATTGAGAGTGCATCCCTTCACATTCATCTTGCAAGTTAAAAACCCAATACTTCATATTAAAGCAGTGCTTTTTTTGAGTAAAAGTATAAAACTTTTGATATCTATATAATCACACACATGCAGGCACACACCAATTTCTGTTTTTTCTTTTGTTATAGTTTTTGTTACTATATCATGGAATCTAAAAGAACTAACAAGAAGTTGTGAGTGAAAAAGCTGAAAACAACTCCGCTAGGGTGATGAAAAATGAGAAAGCTGAAATAAGAGTCAGCCAGAATTACAGGACCACATCACCAAATACTGACATCTTCAGCATACTTCCACTTATCCCGATTGCTGGTGCTAGCTGCTTAGTTTGGGAAAACACCGCAAAGAATTGTAATTTGATAAAAGTCAATGTGTTCATTGTAAAAATCAAAACAAATAAAACCCAAATGAAAGAAGCTACAGTACTTTTCACTATAGCTGAAAGGCATAATACCGAACTTGAAAAATAAATAAAATTGATCATGATTTGCTTAAGTGAAACAAACCATGATCCCTAGTTCAGACATAAGGCTAAGCCAATGATAGTAGTTTGTTGCTCCCACTCACCAGCAGGAAGGAGTGACGTTAGAGCCATCTGTGTGTTCATGGTAAGCCATGAGTCATGGCTTACCATGATATGCAAAACACAGCCAGCAGGTTAGGTACAAGGTTTTTTTTTAAACTATGTTTTGTCTATTAAATATCCAACATAGAGTGGCTTCCTATTTTCAAGCTTACTCTGCATAATGAACATAGTTCCTCTGACTTCTAAATATCAAATCAAAGTTTGCAATTCATATTCCAGCAAAAAAACACTGTTGTTGTAGATCCACAAACCAACAGGTCTCACTGAGTCAAGGTTTGCGCTCAGTGGCAGTCCTGCAAACCCATCAAAAACTTTTATGTAGCAGGGGGGGAATCACAGTAACAATTTTTCCAGAAACTCCAGAACACAACTTGGACAGCAACTAAATAAAACACTGCACATTAGGCATATTGCCACTTTGTAAAATAAAGCCATCAAGTCTTGCCAGAATTTGAAAAGAAATTATCCTGCAAAGAAGTCTGTGGATAATTCATCTTTTGTGCACTATATGACAAAACAAACATTTTTCTTCAGATCAAAAGGAACATTGTATATTATAGCAGAAACATTTGAAACTCAAAGCACAATGGCTCTCATTCACACAAGGTTTAGTTCATTTGCAGCCCAATCCTATGCATATTTACTCAAAATCAAATCATACTGAGTTCAATGTGCCCAACTTCTAAATAAGAGTGTTGCAAGTTCCCCCCAACCACTATGGGCCATTATGACGGAAGGATGGGGCCACCCACCGATAGCCTGACATAACCATGATTTCAGGACAGACCCAACTTCAAAAAAAAGAAAAAAGATTCCAATTCTTTCTTTTCAGTCCACTTTGAGCTAAAACCAGCTGCAAATGAAGATCACTGCAAAAAGTTTGGAACTGAGTACAAATTCTGATTTTCAGAGGAACTGGTTGTATTCAAGATCTCCAGTTAGGAGCTCCAGAGTGCAACCAATCCCAGCAGGATTTGCATTTGAAACCAAATTTTAAATGTGGTGAATGCAAGATCCGCTTGCCAAGGAGCACTGTAAGACTCTCCATTGTCCTTTTGCATCTTTGCTGGCCCAAAGCTGATGTCACGTATGTTGTCAGGTGTGCTACAGATGGGCATGGTTTGCAGTAAACATGTCACATGGCACAAATTAAGACCCCTGCCAAGCCTAATTGGACTCGTGGCCCAGAGGATCTGGGTACACAAGCCTGAAGCCACACCCATTTAAATATGAATTTTTAATGTGGCCTTACCGGATTACAATCTAGAAGATATAGAGGAAGTTTTTCTGGTTGCCCATGAATCACATAAATCATCAGAATCATTTCCTCTTTCTTCCCTTCTCATTCAGTATTATTCAGCTCATCAGGCATGAAACTGGCTTGAAAGTTATACTGTTATCATTATATTAAGGGGTGACAAAATAACTGAAGTCTCAGAAGCATCATCAGCATCAACTCGAGTCGTCTGGGATCTTAGCAATGTGGGGAGCAGTCTATCCACTAGTTGAGTCTCAATAAGGATATGGAATAAGGAATGGGATCATTATATTACTGGCATGGCAATATTCTACTTCACCTTGCAGCCAGTTTCTACATGCAAATTTCATTTGCTGGGCTGGGATGATTGTGCTGCATTCAAATACTCCTTCCTTCACTTACCACTGGATCTGTTTTTGCGGTTTGATTTCCCACCCGTAAGAAGCATCTTGAGACTGTTCCGAAACATGGCTGTTCTGGTCTAATCAGCTCGCCCCCAAAGCTGTATAAATATAAAAATAAAAGGCATCCATTAACTAATTTTTGGTCATTAGCAGCAAGGAACAACGTAAAGATTCATTGTGTCTCTGCAACTGCTATTTGTATTAATAATGTAACATCTGAATTGGCTCTTTGTAGGAAACTAAGCATTCAAAAAATAAATAAATCTTAAACCCGTAAATGAAATAAAGTGCTAATTTTCTATTGTAATTTTTCTTCTCTTCCAGAGAGTAACCATGGTCAGCACATATTTCAGGATTCTGTTCTGCCTCACCTGTTTAATAGTTTGGGGCAAAATGCTGCCATGATTGGGTTCTGCAAATGGGGTAAAATTTGCAAAGTAGCCCCCATGTTGGTAACAATGTGGAATCCAGAATTTTATTGCAGAGAGGCCATGTCTTGCAAAGGCAGTTGAGAGCACCAAACCTACATGAATAAGAAACAGACCAGGTATGAAAGATCCTCCAAGCTGTATTAGTGGAACAGGCTCAGGATACTTGAAGGGTGAATTTGTTTACACAAACCTTGAATGGCTCCCATTATCAACCTTATTTATTAGTATAGGTGGCACTGTGGGTTAAAGCCTCAGCACCTAGGACTTGCCGATCGAAAGGTCGGCGGTTCGAATCCCTGCAGCGGGGTGCGCTCCTGTCGTTCGGTCCCAGCGCCTGCCAACCTAGCAGTTCGAAAGCACCCCCGGGTGCAAGTAGATAAATAGGGACCGCTTACTAGCGGGAAGGTAAACGGTGTTTCCGTGTGCGGCTCTGGCTCGCCAGAGCAGCGATGTCACGCTGGCCACGTGACCCGGAAGTGTCTCCGGACAGCACTGGCTCCCGGCCTATAGAGTGAGATGAGCGCACAACCCTAGAGTCTGGCAAGACTGGCCCGTACGGGCAGGGGTACCTTTACCTTTACCTTTTAAGGATATTGAACTGTACAAAGATTTCTACAAGATTGCACCTAGGGCTGCGTACAAACTCAGAAAACTCAAATAATGTTGAACACGTGCAGGATTCACCTTTAATTCTTCCAGCTCTTTTAGATGTTAAGGTAAGTTTAAAACCATGGAGGTAATATCACGGAAGAATATAAGAAGAGCCCAACTAGATTAGGACCCATCTAGTCCATTGTTTTCATAGCGGAAACCAGATGCCTATGAGAATCCCACAGGTAAGACTTAAGGGCAACAGCAGTCTTCTCACCTGTGATTTCCAACAACTGTTACACAGAGGCAAAACTTAGGCAAATCTCAGATTTGCCGGGAATACACATTTGGTAGTCCTCATCTAACCCCACCCAAATGCTCCCTTGATTCTTATCCCTCCAGACTCCTGGCTGCTGAAGTCCTATCATCATCTCTGGCTCCTCCCCTACTTCAAACATCAATCAAACAAAAAACAACCCATCCCCAACTCTCCATCTGCCACCCAATTTCTCTTCCATTATTCACCACTACAGAAACTCCACCACCAATTCATTCACCTAATCACTGCTTTACATTGGGTCCCATCCAAGCTGGATTTAGAACAAACTCCTTACCTTAATCATCAAAGCCCTGCATGACCTCGTAAGCTTCTTGGGGTAGGGATCTGTCATCTTGTTACTCGTGTGTGTGTGTGCAACTGATGGTAGTAAAATTAATAAAATTATGGTACATTAAAGATTCTATCAGCAAAAAAAGAGATCCCTGCTGGTAAGCAACACTGGGGAAACAATAACAGAAGGAAGGCAGTGAGGAGACAAAGTGGGGGGAAACTGAATCAAATATAGCTTCAAATATTTAAGTTGTTACAGATGGGTTGCGATGAAGAGATTAAACCAAAGGCTTCCAAATAAAAATGTTGGATTGAAGTAAGGATTTGAAGGGGCAGGAGGGAGAGAACGGAGCACCAATTACAGATCAGATGTGTGCATTTTCCAGGTAAAGAGGGGCAGCAAAAAAGAATGAAACACACTGAAAAACATCCATATCACAGGGTGTCTGATGTAGTAGAGTTGGCGAAGCAAAGGTCATGGAAAGATACAACTGCCCTGTGTTGTATGTCACTATTATTTCACTTTACAGGCAAAAATCGCCCAAAACTACCTGCCAACTTTTGACTGAGAGGGAAATCTCAACCCATGCCTCATACTCTTTCCACAAGTTCTCACCAGGGAAACACACAGAATACAAGATGTCCCCGCAAGCTGGTTTTACACAAGTATTCACTGAACTAAACTTGATGCACCACTTAATTTAAAATACTGCCTGAAACCTGATCTGTATTTTAATTGCAGATAATTAGTCTATCATAGAAAACACATCAAAGACTCATGGCACTTAAATACAAGCAATCCTTTTCTGACATGAGCTTTCATTGCAGCCCCTACTTCAGGGCGCGGTGTGGTGGCTCCCTCAGCCAGTAAAGGCAAGATAGCGCCGCAATCCCAGAGTCGTTCACGAGGACTTAACGGTCAGGCGTCCCTTTACCTTTACCTACTTCATTAGATGGATAGCATTAAACCTTAAACACTATACAGTCATAACCTGGTTTTGAACGCCTTGCAACTCGAACGTTTGGCCTCCGAACACCACACAAAGCTGGAAGTGAGCGTTCCAGTTTGTGAACATTTCTTTGGAACCCAAACGTCTCGACGCTGCTTTTGCGTGCGGATTCCGATTGAGTGCAGGAAACTCCTGCAGCAATCAGAAGCCATGCTTTGTTTTCAAACGTTTTCGAAGTCGAACGACTTCCTGGAATGGTTCCGTTCAGGAACCAAGGTACAACTTGTAATAGCCCTAGTGTTTGTTTAAGATAATTGAGAGTGCATCCCTCACATTTCATCTTGCAAGTTAAAAACCCAATACTTCATATTAAAGCAGTGCTTTTTTGAGTAAAAGTATAAACTTTGATATTATATAATCAACAACATGCAGGCACACACCAATTTTCTGTTTTTTCTTTTGTTATAGTTTTTGTTACTATATCATGGAATCTAAAAAGAACTAACAAGAAGTGTAGTGAAAAAGCTGAAAACAACTCCGCTAGGTGATGAAAAATGAGAAAGCTGAAATAAGAGTCAGCCAGAATTACAGGACCACATCACCAAATACTGACATCTTCAGCTACTTCCACTTATCCCGATTGCTGGTGCTAGCTGCTTAGTTTGGAAAAACCGCAAAGAATTGTAATTTGATAAAAGTCAATGTGTTCATTGTAAAAATCAAAACAAATAAAACCCAAATGAAAGAACTACAGTACTTTTCACTATAGCTGAAAGCATAATACCGAACTTGAAAAATAAATAAATTGATCATGATTTGCTTAAGTGAAACAACCATGATCCCTATTCAGACATAAGCTAAGCCAATGATAGTAGTTTGTTGCTCCCACTCACCGCAGGAAGGAGTGACGTTAGAGCCATCGTGTGTCATGTAAGCCATGATCATGGCTTCCATGATATGCAAAACACAGCCAGCAGGTTAGGTACAAGTTTTTTTTAAACTATGTTTTGTCTATTAAATATCCAACATAGAGTGGCTTCCTATTTTTCAAGCTTACTCTGCATAATGAACATAGTTCCTCTGACTTCTAAATATCAAATCAAAGTTTGCAATTCATATTCCAGCAAAAAACACTGTTGTTGTAGATCCACAAACCAACAGGTCTCACTGAGTCAAGGTTTGCGCTCAGTGGCAGTCCTGCAAACCCATCAAAAAACTTTTATGTAGCAGGGGGGAATCACAGTAACAATTTTCCAGAAAACTCAGACACAACTTGGACAGCAACTAAATAAAACACTGCACATTAGGCATATTGCCACTTTGTAAAATAAAGCCATCAAGTCTTGCCAAATTTGAAAAGAAATTATCCTGCAAAGAAGTCTGTGGATAATTCATCTTTTGTGCACTATATGACAAAACAAACATTTTTCTTCAGATCAAAAGGAACATTGTTATTTATAGCAGAAACATTTGAAACTCAACATCCTCAAGCTCCTTTAGTACCCTTGTGTGCAGCTCATTAAGCCCTTAACTATCTTGGGCTGCAGCTCCCTCATTACATCATTTATTATGTTATCACCAGGTTGGGCATTGCTTTCCTTTTGGGAGAAAACAGAGGCAAAGTAGGTGTTGAGCAGTTCCGCCTTCTCTCTCTCACCGAATAGCAATTCCCCATCTTCTCCACACAGAGGACCTATCACTCGCTTGTTCTTCCTCTTGCTTCAAACATAGCCAAAGAAACTATTTTTTATCATTTATAATCTCTCTTGCAAGCCTGAGCTTATTCTGAGCTTTGGCCCACCTGACTTTTACCCGGCAACTGTTCACAATACATGTATACTCCTCCTTTGCGATTTCCTCTTCCATTTCTTATACGTACATGCCTTTCTTAAATCTCAGCTCATCTATAAGCTCCTTATGCAGCCACGCGTTTCCTTAGGTGCATCCCACTTTTCTTTCTTGTTGGAATCATCTGCATTTGGGCCTTCAATATTTCATCCTTAAGAAGCTCCCATCCATCTTGGATTCCCTTCTCTTTGAGTATTTCTGACCATGGGATCTCATCCAAGCTTTTGGAAATTGGACTTCTTAAATCCAAAATGCATCTCTGATTGCACTCAACTTTCCCTTGCCTCTGTATCATGAAACTCAGGAGAACATGATCACTTTCTCCCAAATTTCCCAGTACTTTCACTTAGTCAATGAGTCCCTCTCTGTTGGTGAGGACCAGCTTCACGATAGATAATAACCCTTGTTGCTTCTTCCAGCTTCTGGAAATGAAACTGTCAGCAAGATGATGAGGAATTTGTTGGACCTTTACATTCTTGGAAGGGTTTGATTTCCAATACATATGGGGAAGCTGAAGTCTCCCATAGACTACTACATCTCTACTTTTTGAATGTTTGGTAATCTGCTCTAGGAATACATCATCCAAGTCTTCAATCTGGCTTAACGGTGTATAAACAGATACCCACATAAGATTGATGTTGTTTTTCTCTCCTGCAAAATTTTACCCGTATACTCTCAATCTGCCAGGTTATGGATTTCTTCACAAATGTACATATGCTTTACATATAATGCTTCTCCTCCTCCCTTCATGCTTAAATTCCTGCATTCTACTCTGCCTTCCAAAGTCTCATTCCACCAGTTTTCAGTAATGCCTACCAGGTCATACATGCCATCCTGCATTAAAAGCTCCAATTCGTTCTGCTTGTTTCCCATATTCTGTGCATTTGTGTAGAGACAAATGAAACCATTAGTCATTCTCTCCAGCTGCTTCCTTCTTGAAGTTTCTTCCCTTTAGCAGGTTTCTGGAAGCTCCACCTCAGTTACCTGATGCAAGGTAATGAATCTATCAATCCACAGTACCAGATGTTCTTCTATCGTCTGTAAATGTTTTTCCCTCTAGTCAGGGGGTAGTCCAAACCTTTTTATACCTACCACCCCATAATCCATCTTTCTTTGATGGTTAAAAGTTTCCTCACACCCACCAGTGCTTAATGGAAGGAGAATTCAGCTTGTGCCGTAGAACCCCCTTTCCGCCCACCTAGAATCCTGAAACGCCCACTAATGAGCTGAAGGGACCAGGTTGACAACCCCAATCTAGTTTAAAGCTCTTCTGATCAGGTTCGCGAGACTCTTAGCAAACACACTATTGCCAACAACTGAAGTGCAGCCCATCTCTTGCCCGGAGTCCTTCCTCAAGAAAGTAGAGACCACGATCCAAGAAGCCAAACCCTTCCTGATGACATCACCTGTGCAGCTAGTGTTTACCTCCAGTATTATCCTTTCTTCCTGGGCCACAACCTTCAACAGGAAGGAGTGATGAAAAGACCACCTGTGCCCCAAGGTTCTTCAGCTTCCTGCCCAGAATCTCATAGTCCCGAGCTACACATTGAAAGCGGTGTGTGGCCGTATTGTTTGTACCCACATGAATCAGAAGGAAGGGGTTGTGGTCAGTGGACTTTATAAGACTTGGCAACTTCTCTGTCACATTGTGAATCTTTACACCTGGAAGCCAGCACACCTCCTGGGACATCCTGTTTCCTCCACACACTACTGCCTCTGTCTCTCTCAATAGTGAGTTACCTACCACCACCACACGTCTCTTCTTCCTCTGGGGAATGGCAGAAATCGTTCTATACACTGTGCCTTCCAAAGCCTCCTTGGATTGTTCTGAAGTTTGCAAAGATAGCAGCTAAAATCAAAGGAAGCATTTAAGGGTACCAGGTATTGTTGACTATCTGTTGTTGCTGCTGTTGTTTATAAAAAGTTTATTGAATATTTAAAAATTAAAAAACAATTACCACGTAGACTAAAGTTGTTACAGTTAGAAATGGAAGAAATGAAAGGCAATAGTTCTCTTCACCAACTGTCTCTCCCATTCCCCAATAAGATCCTCAGAATCTTCACTCCATACTTGGGAAGGCAGACCCACCTTTGTGCTTTGAGTTACATCCCTCTTCTGTGTTATTTGACAAGTTGACTAGTCCTCATCTAACCCCACCCAAATGCTCCCTTGATCTTATCCCCTCCAGACTCCTGGCTGCTGAAGTCCTATCATCATCCTCTGGCTCCTCCCCTACTTCAAACAATCAATCAAACAAAAAATCAACCCATCCCCAACTCTCCATCTGCCACCCAATTTCTCTTCCATTATTCACCACTATCCAGAACTCCACCACCAAATTCATTCACCTAATTCACTGCTTTACATTGGGTTCCCATCCAAGCCTGGATTTAGGACAAACTCCTTACCTTAATCATCAAAGCCCTGCATGACCTCGTAAGCTTCTTGGGGTAGGGATCTGTCATCTTGTTACTCTGTGTGTGTGTGTGCACTGATGGTAGTAAATAATTAAAAATTATGGTACATTAAAGATTTCGATCAGCAAAAAAAGAGATCCCTGCTGGTAAGCAACACTGGGAAACAATAACAGAAGGAAGGCAGTGAGGAGACAAAGTGGGGGGAAACTGAATCAAATATAGCTTCAAATATTTAAGTTTGGTTACAGATGGGGTTGCGGATGAAGAGATTAAACCAAAGGCTTCCAAATAAAATGTTGGATTGAAGTAAGGATTTGAAGGGGCAGGAGGGGAGAGAACGGAGCACCAATTACAGATCAGAGTTGTGCATTTTCCAGGTAAAGAGGGGCAGCAAAAAAGAATGAACACAACTGAAAGAACATCATATCACAGGGTGTCTGATGGTAGTAGAGTTGGCGAAGCAAAGGTCATGGAAAAGGATACAACTGCCCTGTGTGGTATGTCACTATTATTTCACTTTACAGGCAAAAATCGCCCAAAACTACCTGCTCAACTTTTGACTGAGAGGGAATCTCAACCCATGCCTCATACTCTTTCCACAAGTTCTCACCAGGGAAACACACAGAATACAAGATGTCCCCGCAAGCTGGTTTTACACAAGTATTCACTGAACTAACTTTGATGCACCACTTAATTTAAATACTGCCTGAAACCTGATCTGTATTTAAATTGCAGATAATTAGTCTATCATAGAAAACACATCAAAGACTCCTTGGCACTTAAATACAAGCAATCCTTTTCTGACATGAGCTTTCATTTGCAAGCCCCTACTTCAGGGGCGCGGGTGGTGGCTCCCTCAGCCAGTAAAGCAAGATAAGCGCCGCAACCCCAGAGTCGTTCACGACTGGACTTAACGGTCAGGGGTCCCTTTACCTTTACCTTACTTCATTAGATGGATAGCATTAACCTTAAACACTATACAGTCATACCTTGGTTGTTGAACGCCTTGCAACTCGAACGTTTTGGCTCCCGAACACCACAAAGCTGGAAGTGAGCGTTCCAGTTTGTGAACATTCTTTGGAACCCAAACGTTCGACGCTGCTTTTGCGGATTCCGATTGAGTGCAGGAAACTCCTGCAGCCCATCAGAAGCCATGCTTTGGTTTTCAAACGTTTTCGGAAGTCGAACGGACTTCTGGAATGGATTCCGTTCAGGAACCAAGGTACAACTGTAATAGCCCTAGTGTTGTGTTTAAGAATAATTGAGAGTGCATCCCTTCACATTCATCTTGCAAGTTAAAAACCCAATACTTCATATTAAAGCAGTGCTTTTTTTGAGTAAAAGTATAAAACTTTTGATATCTATATAATCACACACATGCAGGCACACACCAATTTCTGTTTTTTCTTTTGTTATAGTTTTTGTTACTATATCATGGAATCTAAAAGAACTAACAAGAAGTTGTGAGTGAAAAAGCTGAAAACAACTCCGCTAGGGTGATGAAAAATGAGAAAGCTGAAATAAGAGTCAGCCAGAATTACAGGACCACATCACCAAATACTGACATCTTCAGCATACTTCCATTTATCCTGATTGCTGGTGCTAGCTGCTTAGTTTGGGAAAACACCGCAAAGAATTGTAATTTGATAAAAGTCAATGTGTTCATTGTAAAAATCAAAACAAATAAAACCCAAATGAAAGAAGCTACAGTACTTTTCACTATAGCTGAAAGGCATAATACCGAACTTGAAAAATAAATAAAATTGATCATGATTTGCTTAAGTGAAACAAACCATGATCCCTAGTTCAGACATAAGGCTAAGCCAATGATAGTAGTTTGTTGCTCCCACTCACCAGCAGGAAGGAGTGACGTTAGAGCCATCTGTGTGTTCATGGTAAGCCATGAGTCATGGCTTACCATGATATGCAAAACACAGCCAGCAGGTTAGGTACAAGGTTTTTTTTAAACTATGTTTTGTCTATTAAATATCCAACATAGAGTGGCTTCCTATTTTCAAGCTTACTCTGCATAATGAACATAGTTCCTCTGACTTCTAAATATCAAATCAAAGTTTGCAATTCATATTCCAGCAAAAAAACACTGTTGTTGTAGATCCACAAACCAACAGGTCTCACTGAGTCAAGGTTTGCGCTCAGTGGCAGTCCTGCAAACCCATCAAAAACTTTTATGTAGCAGGGGGGAAATCACAGTAACAATTTTTCCAGAAACTCCAGAACACAACTTGGACAGCAACTAAATAAAACACTGCACATTAGGCATATTGCCACTTTGTAAAATAAAGCCATCAAGTCTTGCCAGAATTTGAAAAGAAATTATCCTGCAAAGAAGTCTGTGGATAATTCATCTTTTGTGCACTATATGACAAAACAAACATTTTTCTTCAGATCAAAAGGAACATTGTATATTATAGCAGAAACATTTGAAACTCAAAGCACAATGGCTCTCATTCACACAAGGTTTAGTTCATTTGCAGCCCAATCCTATGCATATTTACTCAAAATCAAATCATACTGAGTTCAATGTGCCCAACTTCTAAATAAGAGTGTTGCAAGTTCCCCCCCAACCACTATGGGCCATTATGACGGAAGGATGGGGCCACCCACCGATAGCCTGACATAACCATGATTTCAGGACAGACCCAACTTCAAAAAAAAGAAAAAAGATTCCAATTCTTTCTTTTCAGTCCACTTTGAGCTAAAACCAGCTGCAAATGAAGATCACTGCAAAAAGTTTGGAACTGAGTACAAATTCTGATTTTCAGAGGAACTGGTTGTATTCAAGATCTCCAGTTAGGAGCTCCAGAGTGCAACCAATCCCAGCAGGATTTGCATTTGAAACCAAATTTTAAATGTGGTGAATGCAAGATCCGCTTGCCAAGGAGCACTGTAAGACTCTCCATTGTCCTTTTGCATCTTTGCTGGCCCAAAGCTGATGTCACGTATGTTGTCAGGTGTGCTACAGGTGGGCATGGTTTGCAGTAAACATGTCACATGGCACAAATTAAGACCCCTGCCAAGCCTAATTGGACTCGTGGCCCAGAGGATCTGGGTACACAAGCCTGAAGCCACACCCATTTAAATATGAATTTTTAATGTGGCCTTACCGGATTACAATCTAGAAGATATAGAGGAAGTTTTTCTGGTTGCCCATGAATCACATAAATCATCAGAATCATTTCCTCTTTCTTCCCTTCTCATTCAGTATTATTCAGCTCATCAGGCATGAAACTGGCTTGAAAGTTATACTGTTATCATTATATTAAGGGGTGACAAAATAACTGAAGTCTCAGAAGCATCATCAGCATCAACTCGAGTCGTCTGGGATCTTAGCAATGTGGGGAGCAGTCTATCCACTAGTTGAGTCTCAATAAGGATATGGAATAAGGAATGGGATCATTATATTACTGGCATGGCAATATTCTACTTCACCTTGCAGCCAGTTTCTACATGCAAATTTCATTTGCTGGGCTGGGATGATTGTGCTGCATTCAAATACTCCTTCCTTCACTTACCACTGGATCTGTTTTTGCGGTTTGATTTCCCACCCGTAAGAAGCATCTTGAGACTGTTCCGAAACATGGCTGTTCTGGTCTAATCAGCTCGCCCCCAAAGCTGTATAAATATAAAAATAAAAGGCATCCATTAACTAATTTTTGGTCATTAGCAGCAAGGAACAACGTAAAGATTCATTGTGTCTCTGCAACTGCTATTTGTATTAATAATGTAACATCTGAATTGGCTCTTTGTAGGAAACTAAGCATTCAAAAAATAAATAAATCTTAAACCCGTAAATGAAATAAAGTGCTAATTTTCTATTGTAATTTTTCTTCTCTTCCAGAGAGTAACCATGGTCAGCACATATTTCAGGATTCTGTTCTGCCTCACCTGTTTAATAGTTTGGGGCAAAATGCTGCCATGATTGGGTTCTGCAAATGGGGTAAAATTTGCAAAGTAGCCCCCATGTTGGTAACAATGTGGAATCCAGAATTTTATTGCAGAGAGGCCATGTCTTGCAAAGGCAGTTGAGAGCACCAAACCTACATAAATAAGAAACAGACCAGGTATGAAAGATCCTCCAAGCTGTATTAGTGGAACAGGCTCAGGATACTTGAAGGGTGAATTTGTTTACACAAACCTTGAATGGCTCCCATTATCAACCTTATTTATTAGTATTTGCCAAGGATATTGAACTGTACAAAGATTTCTACAAGATTGCACCTAGGGCTGCGTACAAACTCAGAAAACTCAAATAATGTTGAACACGTGCAGGATTCACCTTTAATTCTTCCAGCTCTTTTAGATGTTAAGGTAAGTTTAAAACCATGGAGGTAATATCACGGAAGAATATAAGAAGAGCCCAACTAGATTAGGACCCATCTAGTCCATTGTTTTCATAGCGGAAACCAGATGCCTATGAGAATCCCACAGGTAAGACTTAAGGGCAACAGCAGTCTTCTCACCTGTGATTTCCAACAACTGTTACACAGAGGCAAAACTTAGGCAAATCTCAGATTTGCCGGGAATACACATTTGGTGCCCTGCTTAAGTCCTCTCCATAGCAAGTTAAAATAAACTTTGCAAAGCAAGCATATATGGACAGAATGGCAAAAACTGGAACAACAGAGTACCCACAGACCTAATCATAAACCAAGTCAATATAAGAAAAGTTTAATGTTCCAGTATCTGATTAAAGGTTGAACTATATTAAATGACAGAAATCCATGACTGGTTCTCCCATCTCTTTAGATTTAGGTTAGCTACTACAAGCCTTGAGTGTTCAAACTGAGACCACAGTATGTGCCTGTGTTACCTTTTCCCCTCTGCCATTTACCTTGTGAATTCCGCCCCCCCCCCAAATAAAAACCTTGATATTCATCCCATTCAGGCAGGGTTGAATAACCCATAAGTAGCATCGATCCCTCCCTGCATAATTTTTGTTATGTTATGTTTTTGTTTTACTGCATAATATACACACACTCAAAAAAATCCCACCGTTTTAAAAATAAATATAGGAAATTATTGTTATTGTGTTTCTATGTGATGTCAAAAAACCAAAAGATTGTTGAGTGGCGATAGGCTCCTCTCCATTTTCCTTTTTTTTTAATTATTACTTTTTAACTTAACCTAACCCTAACCCCACTAAGAAGGTTTTTTTGTAAACCCATTTTTTATTTGAAAAAACAATAGTAATTCTTTTACTGACCATTCCCCCTGCTGTAATTGTGATGCCAAAAGGTTGTTAGGACCCTCCAAGACCCACCCCCTCTTTATAGTTTTCTTTTAAAAAAAAAGTAAATGCCCACTTTTACACTTTTGACACATATATTTGACATGCAGCCCCAAATAAGCTGTCCATGTGCCAATGCTGCCCTCGCCCCAAAAAGGTTAGCCACTACATTTTCAAGCTTCAATCAATGATATTGTTCTTGAAGTAGTTGTAAACTTAGTCATGGCTTCGAAAACACGTATAGCTACAAACTGGAAACAGTGGCCCCACTGAAGTGTGATTAGTATGGGAGAATATGGGATACTGCACTTTTAGCGAAATTAAGAGATTGATAAACCTATTTTGTGTGCACTCATCAAAGGGTAGTCTTTACTTAAAATATTTTGGAACATCAACTTTCATAAACCATGTTCTTTCTTTCCATTATGAATGTCCCGTCCCACCCCTACTTGTTTACTATTGATGTGAATGTAAATGTTTCTACGAGTTTCTTTACATGTGTCTCATATTCATATATATATATACAGTGGTACCTCAGGTTACAGATGCTTCAGGTTACAGATTCCGCTAACCCAGAAATAGTACCTCGGGTTAAGGACTTTGCTTCAGGATGAGAACAGAAATCGCGCGGCGGCAGCGGGAGGCCCCATTAGCTAAAGTGGTGCTTCAGGTTAAGAACAGTTTCAGGTTAAGAACGGACCTCCGGAACGAATTAAGTTCTTAACTCAAGGTACCACTGTATACACACACACACACACACACACACACACACACACAAACTCTCTTACTTTGATCTTAAGTATACAATCAACGACCATTTCCATTCTACCCCCCACATATGAGTCCATTCTACCCCCATCCTGCCTCCATTCCACCCTTTTTAGTGACGTGTTTAGTGACATTTTCGACTACTTACAGGTTTGGCACTGTGTGCACATGTGTGATCACGGACCTTTCAGACATGTGTTAATCAGTTGTCACCTGTACACATGGTATGTCCCTAATTTCAATGTCACAAGTGGAGCTGAAAATATTGTAAAAATGTAGGCTGCATTGTCAACAGGAATCACTTTCTCAATTAGAATCCAAGAGTCATGGTATTTTGGAATACCATAAATGTATGATGAAACGGGTCATAATATATCAGATTCAAGTTTGGGCCTTTAGTTCTGTTAAAGTCTTCAAAAAATAATATATAAGCAGATTCACTGCACCTCAAGCAATATAGGCTCTTCTCAAAATTTTATGGAAGTAAGGTGATAACTGACTCTCTTCTGGTAGAATCTGTGGAATCATCCATGCTTACAATATAATTCAAAGTGTGCTTTAAAACAAACAGATACACTATATTAGACACTGGTGTGTGAGAAGCTAATGCTAGAATATAATTTGTCACAAGACCAGATAATATCATCTTCTAAGTAGAAGGTCAAAAAAACAAGTAAAGGGAAAGATTTTTGCACCTGATCTAGACTTGAAAAGAATATAAAATAGAGCTTTCTAATGTTACTACAAAATGGATCACTGTCAGCAAAGGTATTCATGCTTTTCCATCTTTAAAGGGAGGGGAAAAAATCAGACTGCCCTTCTAAGAAATGCCCTTGACATTTATAGATAGAAAATATAGAATGAGATTTGTGCATTTGTGGAGAAAAAGTAGGTGTGTTTTGTTATCCTATTTATGAAAACTATGTGATAAATTTATTGAAGATCTTATAATTACCAGACTTCATAGAAATTCAGAAAATCTGGTATATTCCACACAGAGCCTACAATGTGGCAGTGATAACAGCAAAAAAAGTAACACTCTGCCACCACTGTTTCTGTTCAGCATGGGTCAATTTGTGTGTGTGTGTGTGTGTGTGTGTACACACACACACACACACACACACACACAAAAAACAGATAACTGTTATCACATGCACCCACTCCTAGGGAAGTACTGTCGCTGTGACCAATTTGCTAAACATTTTGCAGCTTAAATCACTTATACTGTACCTACTTCCAATAGTGTATCATAGTTCATGCAGTCCTAAGAAGGGGTGCAACTGTTGTTGCACAAATATGTGGACAGGTTTCTTGGAATTCTGAGGCTCCACACTTGTTCACTCAATCCCTTTCCAATCTGGTTTGTGAAATCTTCTCAGGCTATGCTGAATAAGCTTTTAACAGCCATTGTGAATATTGCTTCCTGGTACTTTAAAAAGGAGTGGTCAATCAAGCATTATTTTATATTAGACAGATTTTCTGGATTCATGCAAGTCAGGCTTAAAAATAAGACTCAGTGAATCCTGTGGCATTTTAAAGACTAAGAAAAAATGTTAGGAAATAAGCATTTGTGGACTAGAGTCCCCTTCAGCTCAGGACCGCAATACCTCATGAACTGCCTCTCCCCATATAAACCAACCTGGACCCTGAGATCATCGTATGAGGCCCTTCTTCATGTGCCCCCTCCATGACAGAGCCAGAAGGTGGCAACATGATAAAGGGCCTTTTCTGTGGTGGCTCCCCGCTTGCGGAATGCTCTCCCCAGGGAGGTGCCAGGTAAAAACATTCCTCTTCTCCCAGGCCTTTGGCTAATTAAACAATCTATGGCCTTTTAAACTGTAGGAGACATTGTTTTGGTTTGTTATTATGAGGTGTATTTTTGTGTAATATACTGTAAGCCACCATGTGAACTTCAGAAGAAAGGTAGTATAGAAATTAAAATAATAATTATTTATCAGATGCATGAATTGTATTCCTAAATTGCCAAGTAATGAACGGGGGAGGTGGAATGTCAGAGAGTGAGGTAAGAGGGAAATGAAATGCAAAAGTAACAGACAGCAACAGTTATCTAAAAGCAATGACCGATTGCCACAGCACTGTTGCTGAGAACACAAACATCCTGGGATTGGTAAACTAATAAACAAGCACATATAGAATGGTTTTTTTAATTAAAAAAAACACCACAAAACCTTAATCTCAATTCAAGCTGCAAGTGACAAAAATTAATTCCCCAATAACTTATAATTCAGACTAGAGTTTACCTCTGAAGTTCCTTTGTTCAAGGATGACCACCTGAAAATCAGTTATAGAGTGTTCAGGTATAATGAAATGCTCTCCTATTGGTTTCTGCATATTGCTATTTCTAACGTTAGGCTGAAGTCTACTTCTTATTTTGCATAGAAATTGGTTTGTTTTGTCCTATATAGAATGCAGAAAGGCACTGCTGGGAGATGATGGCAAGTATATGAGCACACACAGAAACCACTGATGTGGCTGACATTATTAAGCCCTGTAATAGTGTTGCCTGCAAGATATGGGGATAAAGTTGGTATTTCAGCCTGCTGCAAGGCTGGCTTCTGTGTTTGTCTCTCTTGATATATGGCCTGTTGCTGATAGCAAATGCCTGTTTTAGGCTGGGCACTGTCTGTAAGCAAGTACAGACCTAACACTCAAGGCCTGTGAGAGAGGGAAGTGTGATTATTCAGGATGGGCTGCAGATCACTGATGATGTGTGGTTTTAGTTGAGAGCTATTAGATTATAAATAGTGTTTTGTCATGTTCTCTTTTAGGTCCATGCTGGTGCAGATTATTCCCAGGTACCAGTCTGGCTCCATTTATCTGCTTTTTCACTTAACTGGGCAAGTACTGTACAGGCAGCTGGTGAAGCTGCATCCACAGACCAGGAGGCTGCTGAAGCATACTCTGAGCAGCTAAAGAGGCTGCTGCAGGAGAAAGGATACCTTCCAGAGCAGGTCTTCAGAGCAGAGGAGACAGGCCTGTCCTGGAAGAAGATGCCTGAGCAGACTATATTGACAAAGCAGA